GTTAGATCTATCGGCCAATTGTATTATTACCCCATCATTTTTCAATGCTCCTAAGTTCATAGATGCATAAATGGAATATGGCATAACATTTATAGAAGCACCTAAATCAAGCATGGCAGATTCAAATCTAGTATTCCCAATGACACAAGGAATGGTAAAGCTACCTGGATCCTTGCATTTGGGCGGTAGTTTGCGTTGCAAGATGGCGGACACATTCTCACCTACCTTTACCACTTCCTTAGTCGACATCCTCTTCCTAGTGGTGCAAAGCTCCTTTAAAAACTTGGCATATCTCGGGACTTGCTTTATTGCATCCAACAGGGGTATATTCACTTGAACTTTACGAAACGTCTCAAGGATGTCCTTTTCAGCTTCTTCTTTCTTCGTTTGCTTGAACCTACTAGGAAAAGGGACATTCGGAGGGAAAACATTAGTAGGAACTGAATTTAACACATTTTTACCTTTATTGGCCGAATTGGGCAGATTTGGGACCATAGAGACTTGCGGCAAAGGTATGTCCACCTTTGCCGTGGGTTGTCTTGATTCCTCCTCTTCGATTCTTCGTTTTTCATCCTCTTCGGGGCTTGATGGTGGTGGTGTAGGACCTGCCCCGACTTCTTTTCCACTTCTCAAAAGTATGGCCTTTGCGCTTTCGAAACCTACCTTCGGATTTGGAATGGTGGAACTAGGGAGTTGTCCGGGATCTCGAAACTTACCTACAAACTCGGCAATCTGCCCAATTTGTTTCTCAAGTTGATCCACCCTCTTATCTTGGTTTTGCATAGCCTTCGCTTGATCTTCCTGCCCATTAGACAACTTAGTTAGTATTTTAAGAAGTGCATCATTGTCAAGAGAAGTACCTGAGGCACTTGGGCCGGATTGGGCTTGATTTTGGGGTGGGCCGTAGGGTTTGGGAAAGAACCCCGGGGGTTGTTGCCTAAAGCCTCCCTGGTTCTGAGGTTGCTGGGAATCCCTCCACTTGAAATTTGGGTGGTCTCGCCACCCCGGATTATACGTGTTGGAGTACGGATCATGTCTTGACTGATTTTGGCTTTGAAAACCAATGGCATTCGCACTCTCCCATCCGCCATTCTCAATGAGTTGAGGACACTTTTCAGAAGCATGTCCTTGGATAGAACATACGCCACATACCACAGGTCCTTGCATCTTCATTCCCTCAGCCATCTGTGAAACCATAGAAGTAAGGTTAGCCAATTGTGAATGAAGATCGGACGTTGAACTTACCTCATGTACTTGGTGCCGTGGGGGTCTTCTTTGGCCTACTCCCTCATACTGTTGAGCATTCAATGCTCGGTTCGCAATCAAAACCTTGGCCGCCATGGGTGTCTTGTCCACCAATGCTCCACCCGCCGATGCGTCAAGCATTTGTCGTTCAATTGGCAGGAGCCCCTCGTAGAAGTATTGCAGAAGCAACTCCTCCTTCATCTGGTGCTGTGGACAAGAAGCAACAAGAGATTTAAAACGTTCGTAATACGTAGGAAAAGACTCACCATCTTCTTGCTGTATACCACTTATCCTTTTTCGTAAAAGGATGATTCGAGAAGTTGGGAAAAACTTCTCCAGAAAAGCCCTCTTCATGCTCTCCCAAGAAGTGACAGTGCCGGGAGCTAACTCATATAACCAATCTTTGGCTTTATCCATCAAAGAGAATGGAAAAGCCTTCATCTTTAATATGCTTCCATCGACGTTGACGGGAGTCATACTAGAGCAAACTACTTCAAATTCTTTCAAATGTTTGTTAGGATCTTCCATGGACAAGCCATGGTATTTAGGAATATGATGAAGTAAACTTGACTTTAATTCAAACTCATCCGTCTTACCTTGGGCAGGTGGGGGGTATTGAATGCACAAGGGTGTGGCATTATCCAAACCTGAGGCGGAAAGCTCCTTAAGTGTCCGGGTTTCTACGGCCATGTCTTGTGGCTCTTCAAACACCCTTGCCGTGGGTTCCTCAAAGATCCCTGCCGTGGCCTCTTCTTCCTCTTCTAGGCCTTGTTCTTCAAGCTCAGGTTCTGGGCTTGGTGGATTCGACTCGTGGTGCTTCTTCCTTCGTCTCAAAGTTCTCTCAAAATCGCTGTCAAAGTCTGAGATATGCTCACGAATCGGTTGAGAACTCCGAGTCATGCACTAGTACCTAAAACAAGGAAAACGAAACAAAATCAGAAACTTTAACAAAATAAATAAATAAACAAAAATTAAACAATCCAAGGGATTAGCAAAGTTGCTAATCCCCGGCAACGGCGCCAAAAATTTGATGCGTTACTAAGTAAGCACACAAATTAAAACCCTCTTGTGACAATTGTAGTATATAAATAAGTAGGGATCGTTCTTAACCGGGGATTAGGAGGGATTGCAAAATCACTTGGAAACTGACTCAAAAACGTAAAATAAAGTTTGAAATACTAAACTAGACTCAAAGAATGCAAAACTAACAATAAAAACACTCAAACAAATCAAAAGACTCAAAGAATACAAAACACTTATAAACACAAATTAAAACACTTTCTAACTAAATTGGATACTAAAGTAAAGGGGGATTGAGGTTTTGATGAAATTAAACTAAATGCAACGATTGTAATTTAAAGGTAGAATGTAAATATGAATGTGATGAAAATATGGATGAATGCTAGCTAGAAGGTTCTTCTCCACACATGTCACACTTGCATACAATTTGATTTTCAGTTGGTCTTTCGATAAATTATGAAACTCAACACCCCAGGTTAATTAGGTCCGCTTAAATTAACCGTCAAGTTCTCCTTAAGTTAATGAATTGGATGGGTTAGCGCAACGCAATTCAAAACATTCTCCAAAAGTCCTTTACGTGAAAAGCACAATAAAGATACAATCAAAGATCATTAAGCATCATGAAAACTATAAGTGTTGACGAGGCATTCGTTACTATGATGAGCATGAAACTAGTGCCAAGAATTCATTTAACGCGATTGTTTATAAGCAACCTCCACTACTTGTGAATATAAGTTCATAACTATTAGGTGAAACTCACTTATACTCTAGCATCATATTCATGCATGAAAATTAAGCGTGCACTCTCAATCAACATACATAAATAAGTTATCAATCAAACAGTTAAACAAATTGAATCACAACTTATGAAATTCCAACCAAAAGTAATCAATTCATCTTGCAAGCATAAACATGGTTTCGAATCACCCCCTAGCTAACTAGGGGGATTTAGCCTCTCATGGTCACAACAAGAAAAATAAAATTGAATTTAAACATAAAGAACAAAGGATGGATTACACCTAGAACGCCCAACGAATCCACTTGAATTTCTGCGCGTCTAAGTCCTCTTTCCTCTTCTCCTTGCTGCGACAGTTTGGTTATGGGTGGTTTTTGGATGGTTTTCTGGGTTAGGGATAGATTTAAGGTGGTTTAGGGATGCGGCAAGGCTATGGGGTGGTGTGTGAAGGTTTGTATGGTGGTAGAAAGTGGAGGAAGGCTGCTGCAGAGAAGGAAAAAGGTGCGGCTGGACAGTTTCTTTGATAATGGTTGCTGCTGCGCTCTTTGGAATCCTGGGAGAATGGATTGCGGCTGTTGGATGAAAGGCCTATGGTGCGGCTGTTAGTCGCTGAATGAAAAATAATGGAATGGGAAAAAGGGTGCTGCGGCTGTTAGGGTGATAATCTGTGGAATGTGGCTGATTATGAATGAAATGGGAGAATGGTGCGGCTGGAATAAAAATTATGGGATATGCGGCTGTTTGGGGAAAATGGAAAGGTTGCACGGCTTTGGGATCCCCCCAATGCGGCTGGATGAAAATTAGGTTTTTTTTTATGGAATGCACGGATGGTTGCTTATGGAATAAAATATGGCTGCATCAATTATGCGGCTGATTAGCTTAGGGTTATGGAAAATGCACTGCAATATGGGAAGAAATAGAGTCCAAAGTCAATGGGAATTGCGGCTGGAATTTATAAAAATGGGAGATGGCTGCAATGTTTTGGAAAATATGCGGCTGTTTGGTGGATAATTAGGGTGCAAAATTGAAGGGGGGGGCCACGGCTTAGAAGAATGGGATGGTGGCTTTTGGGGAGTGACTGCTTAGGTGGTAGAAATTAGGGTATGGCCTTGGTTTTATGTCCTAAAGTGCATACGAGGCCTATAAAGTGGCTAGAAAATATGGACGTTTAGAATTAGGAAAGGTTACCAAAACGGGAAACTTAGGGTCAACTTTCCTAAAATAGGAAGCCTTGTTTGAGTAGGATTCTTCGTTTTGGTAAGAATTCATCGTTGGCGTAGGAATTCGTCGTTCCTTCAAGTCTTCAACTCATTCATTCCTCTTTCGCTCCAAAAGACTCCAATTTGCATCTTCTTGCACACTTTGGCCTTATAATCTGAAAATACACAAAAGTGGCCTTAAACACTAAAACAACTAAGTAAACACAACATAAATGCACGAGAACAAGCTAATTAAGTCGCATGAATATGCTCCTATCACTTAACCCACATTCGGCCCACTCCTTCTCTCCCTCCTCATTTCTGATTCACTACTCTCTCTCTCTCTGTAGAACTCACTCTCTCTCTAACACCGAGAGAAGAGAGCTCTCACTCTCCCACCTATTTTCACAAATTAAACCATATTTCTTCCATTTTCGAAGCTTGTGGAATGCAAGGATCATGTTGAAGTTTTTTTGTATTTCATTTATGATATGATGTACAAGGATACACATATATAAAAGAAAAGAAGGACTAGTTACATCCAACAGTCCTTAGACTAAACCCTAGAGACCAGCTATGCTCCTTAATTAAAGGAGATTACACCAAACACTAGATGTTAGCCATACTCTTTAATTGGAGGAAACCAACTACAAGACTAAGAAGAGATTTACACATAATCTGTTAGGAAAAACATAAGGTGTCGTGTAGCCATGCTGCACCTATTGTTTCTGGAATTGCATAATCTGTCTAGGGTTGGTAACTTTCAATACTCAGCCTCAAGTTGGATCGAGAAGTATAGTCTATCCAAGCTTGCCTAGAAGACGTTGAAAATGTACAGATGAGAAAGGGCTTAGTGAACACGTCCGCCAATTGATCATAACTGCGAGTGAAGACCGTTTGGATGAGTTGAGACTGAACTTGAGCCCTGATGAAGTGACAGTCAACTTCAATAAGTTTGGTCTTTTCATAAAAATTGGGTTTGTAGCAATATGCATGGGTGCTTGATTATCACACATGAGAGACATAGGAGTTGTACTCAAGAACCCTAGATCAAATAAAAGACTTTTAAGCCAAATCAATTCACATGCAGTGGCAGCCATTGCTCGATACTCAGCTTCAGCACTAGAGCGGGCAATGACTTGTTGTTTCTTACTCTTCCAAGTGACAATGTTGCCTTCAACAAATGTGCAATAACTAGTGGTGGATTTTCTGTTGATTGCATTGCCTACCCAGTCAGCATCAGTGTATGCATGAATCTCAGTGGAATGGTTATTACACATGAGGATACCTCTATTGATGGACCCTTTGAGATAGCGTATGATCCTTTTAACAATATTAAGATGTTCTACTGTGGGTGCATGCATGAATTGACTGACTAAGCTCACAGCAAAGGTAATGTCTGGACGGATGATAGTAAGATAGATAAACTTGCCAATCAATCTCCGATAATAGGTGACATTCTTGAGTGTCTTGCCATCAATGGTAAGCTTAAGTTTACTATCAATTGGGGTGACAACTGGCTTGTAATCAGTGAACCTAGCTTCCTCGAGTAGATCCATGACATACTTGAGTTGGTTGAGAAACAAACCCTGTTGAGAAATTGCCATCTTAATGCCAAGAAAATACTTCAACTTCCCAAGATCCTTGATGGCAAAGGTTTGATGTAGGGATGTTTTCAAGGCTCCAATTTCAAATGCATTGTCTGTAAGATCCCACATCGCCCAGGGGAGTGATCCTTATATGTATATTCCCATCTCTACCTAGCACGAGGCCTTTTGGGAGCTCACTGGCTTCGAGTTCCATGGGAACTCTGAAGTTAAGCGAGTAGCGCACGAGAGCACTCCCAGGATGGGTGACCCATTGGGAAGTTCTCATGTGAGTTCCCAGAAACAAAACCGTGAAGGCATGGTTGGGGCCTAAAGCGGACAATATCGTGCTACGGTGGAGTTGGGCCTGGGAAGTAATCCACCCTAGGCCGAGATGTGACAATTTGGTATCAGACTCAGGCCTGGAAACAGAAAGCCTCCGTACACTTAGAGTCTTATCGCCCCGTGCGATGGGTTGAGACACGTGTGGAGCCTTTAGGCTTCAAGCCCGGAGTAATCTTGGCCGACTTAACAGTTATTCGCTTGGTCCATTGGACTAACTGAACAGGGCTTACGTTTCAGTGGTGTCAATTTTTAAAATTGTAAGATCCCACATCGCCCAGGGGAATGATCCTTATATGTATATTCCCATCTCTACCTAGCACGAGGCCTTTTGGGAGCTCACTGGGCGATGTGCCTTTTGGGAGCTCACTGGGCGATGTGGGATCTTACAATCCACCCCCCTTAGGGGCCCGACATCCTCGTCGGTACACCACGGCCAGGGTTAGGCTCTGATACCAAATTGTCACATCCCGGCCTGGGGCGGATCACTTTCCATGCACGCTCCACTACCGTAGCACGATATTATCCGCTTTGGGCTTACCATTCCCTCATGGTTTTATTTTTGGGAACTCACGAGTAACTTCCCAGTGGGTCACCCATTATGGGATTGCTCTAGGCCCCTTCTCGCTTAACTTCGGAGTTCCTACGAAACCCAAAGCCAATGAGCTCCTAAAAGGCTTCGTGCTAAGTAGAGATGGGAATATACATATAAGGATCACTCCCCTGGGCAATGTGGGATCTTACAATTTTAAAAATTGACACCACTAAAACGTAAGCCCCGTTCAGTTAGTCTAATGGACTAAGCGAATAACTGTTAAGTCGGCCAAGATTACTCCAAACTTGAAGCCTAAAGGCTCCACACGTGTCTCAGCCCATCGCACGGGGCGATAAGACTCCAAGCGTACGAAAGCTTCCTGTTTCCAGGCCTGAAAGTCCACGGGCCCACTTCTGCAGAGATGCAGGCCTGGAAACAGGAAGCCTCCGTACGCTTAGAGTCTTATCGCCCCTGTGCGATGGGCTGAGACACGTGTGGAGCCTTTAGGCTTCAAGCCCGGAGTAATCTTGGCCGACGTAACAGATATTCGCTTGGTCCATTGGACTAACTGAACGGGGCTTACGTTTCAGTGGTGTCAATTTTTAAAATTGTAAGATCCCATATCGCCCAGGGGAGTGATCCTTATATGTATATTCCCATCTCTACCTAGCACGAGGCCTTTTGGGAGCTCACTGGCTTCGGGTTCCGTAGGAACTCCGAAGTTAAGCGAGAAGGGGGCTAAAGCAATCCCATGATGGGTGACCCACTGGGAAGTTGCTCGTGAATTCCCAAAAACAAAACCGTGAGGGAATAGTAAGCCCAAAGTGGACAATATCATGCTACAGTGGTGGAACGGGCCCGGGGAGTGATCCGCCAGCGACCGAGATATGACATTTTGGTATCAGAGCCTAACCCTGGCAATGATGTACCGACGAGGACGTCGGGCCCCTAAGGGGGTGGATTGTAAGATCCCACATCACCCAAGGGAGTGATCTTTATATGCATATTCCCATCTCTACCTAGCACGAGGCCTTTTGGGAGCTCACTGGCTTCGGGTTCCATGGGAACTCCGAAGTTAAGCGAGTAGCGCACGAGAGCACTCCCAGGATGGGTGACCCATTGGGAAGTTCTCGTGTGAGTTCCCAAAAACAAAACCGTGAGGGCGTGGTTGGGGCCCAAAGCGGACAATATCATGCTATAATGGAGTCGGGTCCGGGAAGTGATCCACCCTATGCCGGGAGGTGAATAAGATCATCAACATAAATAAGGACCACCATCATACGAGTTCTATTCCGTACAAACAAAGAAGAATCGGCATTACTTCTAAGAAAACCTTCCCTTTCCAACACTGAACTAAGCTTAGCACACCAAGCTCTTGGTGATTGCTTTAAACCATAGATAGCCTTGTGCAGTATGCACACCATGCCATCCTTTGCTGGAGAGTAACCTGGGGGAATTTGCATGTAAACTTCCTCCTGAAGCTCTTCATGAAGGAAAGCATCTTTAACATCCATCTGGTATAACAACCAACCACAATTGACAGCAACAGAAAGAAGCATAAGCACTGTGTCCATTTTTTCCACTAGAGCGAAAGTTTCTTTGTAATCAATCCTTAAGGTTTGGGTGAAACCATGAGCAACAAGCCGAGCTTTGTGTCTTTCTATTGAGCCATCAATCTTGAGTTTAGTTTTGTAAACCCAACGACTCCTAATTTCTTTTTTTCCTGGAGGTAATTTTACGATACTCCAAGTACAATTTTCCTCCAAGGCTTGAAGTTCTTCAGACATGGTTTTCCTCCAGTGAGGAATGAGATTGTCTTCTTGAAATGTGTTAGGCTCTACAATATTTAAGACTGCAGTAAGAAATGCCACATGAGAATTTGAAAAACTGTGATTATTTATTGCTTCAGAGATAGGATGTCTAGAAGCATAAGCAACGTAGTCTACAAACTTGGTAGGAGCCTTCCTTTCTCGAGGTGGATTCCTCCTAACATCTTGAGAAGGTTGGTGAGTGAAGGGTTGAGGTGTAGCCTCAAGATCACCATTTCCTTATGAGTTGGCTTGAGAAACTGTTGAAGTTGTGATTTCTAACATGACTTCTTGGTCTTGACTGTCATTGCCCTTTAAGGAATCGTCATGACTCAAAAGCTCAGTGTATATAGGCAATGGAAACAAGTCACACAAGAGTTCTCCCTTACATGAAGTAGAACCGTTTTTTAAAGAATAGAGTCTCTTCCTTAAAGCAAACATCTCTGGATACAACACATTTGTTAGTGACAGGAATAAAACATTTATATCCTTTTTAAGTGGAGGAGTATCCCATGAACACACATTTGACTGCTCTAGCATCCAATTTGTCACGATGTTGAGTTTGCACATGTACAAAACAAGTGTAACCAAAAGCTTTCAAGTGTGACAGGTTTATTGGTCTATCTTTAAAGGTTTCATATGGTGATCTGAAACCTAGAACACAACTAGGAAGCCTATTAATCAAATAGGTGGCTGTAAGGATTGCATATGAGTGGATCACTTTGAGAAATTAAAACGTTTTTAGGTTATATATATATATATATATGTATGTATGTATGTATGTATGTATGTATGTATGTATGTATGTATGCTTAATATGTGGATGCATATTAATATGTTAGTCTCTGACGAGACTTGTGATGATATTTGATAATATCTTTAGATCATCATTGATCTAGTTTCACCACATGGTCATCAAGTGATATATTGTATTGCTATCTTCGATTGTAGATTTATTTGTAGGTGGTATTCGTCCTAGTAGACGCTAGGATTAATGATTATTACCGGTACTAAGATTAACTAGTTGATGCTAGTATATTTCCTGCTTGTTATACATGTGTTAGTGGATGCTAACATAATTGATTAACGGAAAATAGGATTTTTGGACTTGACTTGATTGTCTTTCGATGATATTAATGAATGAGATTTACTATTATGGTACTGTATTATATTATATAGTTTTCATTATTTATGTTTTCGAAACAGGGGTTATTATGCTTAACGATGATTTTATAACTGTGATAAAACTGTTCCACTCACGTTTTGTTTTATCAACCCCTTCAAGACATAACGAGAACATGGAGAACATCGATGGGGACAAGTGGGCTTGGCAGTAAGGCTTTCATCCTCTGGACTTTGGATGATGGCTTATTTATTGCAGTTTTATCATTGTTGTAATAGTTATGGCATGATTGTACTTTTGATTATGCATAGCACTACACTTTGTTGTATTTACTGTTGTGTGAAACTTCTAGCTGCTTTGATAACAGGGTTAAACCCGAGATAATTTGTGTCCCCAAGTAGGGAGGATGATAAGTATTTTTCTTGTAGTAGCTTTGGAATTATTATTTAATGAACATTTTTTGGTCAAATTCATACACATCATAAATATCTTGTTATGGCTTTATCATTAAGTTGGCATGTGACGTCATCTCCAAATGAGGTTGTATAGTCAATTCAGTGTCAGCTAGCACATCACAGCCTCATAACTTGTGTTATTAGGGTTAGTGTGTGTCAAAAATATCCTTCAATCTTCAATGGCATGCATTCAAACCCTTCTCAGCTTATGCGAACAACTTTATAGTAAGTTGCAAACCATCAGAGGGATTATTGATCACTTAATCACCTAACTCTTCATGTAGTAGAAGGCCAAATCCTAAGTCCTTGACCCTAGGTTTAAAGATTATGTTCCAAACTCAATTGTCTCACTAATAAAAACGAACTTGCTCGACCCTCTCTTCATAGGAAGTGACTGGTCAAAGTGGGGAATCGCCAAACAACAGGTTGGGCTTCTTGGATAAATCGAATAGAGTCATACTTTGAGTCTTGGAAGAGATTGGGTATTTTGACGCCATCAAGATCTCCACCATTGAGATCAACAAGCATCAAGAGCTCTTGGTGGCAGCCCTAAACATCTAGTACCAAGCCACCAACATGATCATGGGACCACGATTTTCTAGGGCCAGAGAAAGACATATCGAAATATGAATACCTTAAAAGTCCCGTTATGGACTCAACAGGTTCAACAACAGAGTTAAACAGATGGAGCAACGATAACACCATCATCATGTTCTAAAGTAGTGGGTGAAGTTCGACGACTTCACTAAGATTGATCATGTTTGGTCTTCAAGATACAAAAACTTGATCCAGTAAAGAATCAACCATATTTCCTATATTCTTATAATCCTTCCAATCTAAGAGTTAGTGTGCCCCGCAAGTAATCATAC